GGATGATGGTGAACCCTGAAAATTCAAGTAATTATCCTAAGTTATATGGTTTGATCACCCGCCAGCGGGGTATTTATTTACAGACATTATTTACAAACACTGTCGGCATGCAATTTCGTGGACATTCGCCACGGAAAAATGTTACCTATATAGCTCTTCTTAGCTATGGCTTTCGGCAATATATTTTGTTTGCTCCTTGTGTTGGTAATTATTGTAGTGAACATTTGATTAAACAGAAAATTGTTATTCGAGATTCGGTTAAACACGCGCCTGTCCATTTTGTTGATTTCGTCAAGTACACATCTACATTTTATATCTTTTTTCTCAACATTACACCGAAAAGCAACTCTTTTTAAAAACTTATTTTGAATGTTTTTCAATTTTGTTTTTTCATGATTAAATAGGGGATGCCATACTGGACAGGCATAAATAATCAACGGTAAAATGAAAGTATCAAAAAGTTTAACATACAACTCAGCATTCTTAATGTTAAAAGATCGTAATAACCAATTTGCACGTTTGGCAGAGTTAGATATAACGTCATTAATATGTTCACTATATTTCAGATTTGTAGAAATTCTTACGCCTAAGTCTTTAATATTTTCACTACTTGTTAACGTGTTTCCTCCAATAGTATATTTATATTTAGGATTACCAGAACCAAAGTGCAAAACAGTACACTTTTCAATCGACAACTTAAGATCCAGCGCATCAATCCATTGCAGAAATCTGTTAAGTGTGTTTTGTAATTCAATGGAATCATGCTCATTAGATATAACTTTATATAATTTAACATCATCAGCGTAGATTTTTATAAAAATATCATGAGGCATTATATCTTCAATTGAATTAATATATATTAAAAACATGAGAGGACCAAGAATTGTTCCCTGGGGGCAGCCGGATGAGGCTGTGTAGGATGTAGAGAGAGCATCATGAACCTTAACAGCAAACTGTCTATTAGTTAGAAACGATTTTATCCAATTTAATAACCTCGGCCCTACACCATAAAACGGTAATATATTCATTAACTTTGCGTGGTTTACAGATTCGAAGGCAGACCGAAAATCAAAATAAATTACATCAAAACATTTAGATTCATTTAACAACAGAGCCCAATCACATTGTGTAGACAGCAATTGAAGAGTCGTATCAAGACCAGGTCGATATGCAAATTGTTGGTTACTTATAAGACCTTGAGAATTAGCGTTATTATAAATGGCTTCGCAAATAATACTTTCTAATAGTTTACATGGAACGACAGTCAGTGAGACAGGTCTTTTATTAGATGCTTCAGTCGCGGCGCCTTTTTTATGCACCGGTGTAACGATCGCTCTCTGGAATAATTGTGGGACAGCGCCATCTTCAAGAGAACGGCGAAAAATATAGCTGAGAGGTATACAAATATCAATACCACATTTCTTATAGAAGTATGCTGGAATTCCTTCTGGATTCGTACTTAGTTTGAGTTCCATATGATTTAGATGTTTCAAAATATCTTCTGGCAGAACGGAGACATCGTTGATTTGTTGAGGAGCCTGTCGAGTAGGAGCGTAGGCTTCGATAGGTGTAGATGAGGCTTCACTATCCGTTGCAACGGTAGAGGGATAAGTTTTGGCAAAATGCTTGGCCAGCAGCTCAGCTTTCTCGACATCGTCCGTCGCAAGAGATCCATCATCTCGCCGAATTGCAGATAGGTTATCCTTGATGGTGATACGTTTTTTGACATACGAAAAGATCTCTTTACTGTTGCGAGATTTGGCGATACGGCTCTCCAACAGGATACGCTTCCTCTTGACGGCTTTCGTGAGGACGGCTCTCAGTCTTTCAGTTTCGACTGGGTCGTTCGAAGATTCAATATCCGTGGTGATGCGTTTAATAAAGTCACTTATGCTACCACGAGATTCAAGATGCTTCAGGGGAGTTGTTACTTCAATGAGGAACCACAGATATCGAATAAATGTATTGTACATGTCTTCAACATCGATGCATGAAAGAAAGAACGTTCTCCAGTTTGTAGCAGACAGGTTCGCAATCACTTCATCATAGTCAGTTTTTTCGAAGTCAAATTTTTCACGGTTGCTTTGAACAAAACTTTCATTCAGAAGATGGAATTTAATTAGATAATGATCAGATCTGAATGGGCCGTTGCATAACTGAAGATCTTGCACACAGTCGTCGTTACAAAACGCTAAGTCAAGAATGTTCCCGGCCTTATGGGTTGGTGATTGTATAAGTTGATTAAGGCCTAACCCACAGAAGAGGTCAAGAATGAGACAATCTCTGCTAGGCGTATCAGGATCCCTCCCTGGGGCAGAAAGGTTGTCCCAATCAATCTTTGGACAGTTAAAATCGCCAAGGACGACAATTGTATTCAGTGTGTCCAGCACATCATCAAGTTCATCACATAACAATTGAGCATCACTCCGCAGTTGATCGGCAGTTCCACTGGGACTGAGATAAACACCAACAACACGATATGTATATTCAGGAAAAATAATGTCTACAGCAATCATCTCAGAGCAAGGTGTCGGGTGACACACTTGAGCAGAAGTTAAAGAATTTCTCACAAGGATCAGAACTCCACCACCTCGGGATGTTCTGTCACGACGGTACACACAGTATAGACCATTGCAGCTTAGTTCAGCGTTACAGATGTTTTCATTTAGCCAAGTTTCCACTAAAACAGCCACATCAATACCATTATTGCACATATAAGCATGAAGTTCATCTACGGCATTATCTTTTGCAAGCGATTGAGTATTCCAGTATATACACTTTAAGGGACTTGAGGTAGTCAATTGAGAATTATTGAATCGGCAGATTGGTTCTGGTTTACTGGGACGTCAGGCGCTCGGATGCTGCTCGACGACTTTGCGATCATTTAGCCTTCCGTTGAAATGTTTAACAATCGTACCAGGATTCCAACGTTTCATTTCAAATNATCATTTAGCCTTCCGTTGAAATGTTTAACAATCGTACCAGGATTCCAACGTTTCTTTTCAAATAACATGTCCACATCAGTGTCAGGTACCTCGAGATAGAACGAACTGTAATGGGCGTAGCGCGTTTGAAGTTTTTTAACTACCACAGTATAAACACCATTTTTAACAAGATGCGCATGGAGTTTTGCGGCCGTAAGAGAGGGATCTTGGCCAGATACAAAGATCCTTTCTGTAGCAAGTTGCACATTATTAAAAGGAAGCTTCGAACTTTCGTCTTCATCACTTTTCTCACAAGAATTAACAATTAATACACGTTCTTGCGAGGATCGTATTTTACTTGATACGTCTCGCATGGGCGACTGGCGCCATCTATGTGCAGATTGTTGTTGTTTAGATTTAGATTGCCGTCGCTGCGCGGTGGAGGCGCTGCGCTCTCGAATGTTTTGGTTTGATCTCCGTTGCTGTTGTTGCTGATCCCGCGAGAGTGCGCGGCTGCGCCGTTGTAACTGTTCCTGCTGCTGCGGCAGCATGCTGAGGCGCCGATTTTGCTGTTGCTGTGAATCAAGATTCCAATGAACGGGAAAAGATCTATATTCAGATAGGCGATCTATTTTCTTTTGGAGATCAGAATTTGCTTTTTCCAGGCGCTCATTATTCTCGATAAGAACAGATATCTTATTGCCTAGTTTCTTAACTTCGCGCATTAGCGCCTTAACCACAGGCAATATATCATTAGAATCCTCCATCTCAACATCACAGCTATCCTCTTCTTCTTCTTCACCGGCACTCTTTTCACATTTATTACACTTAAAATTTTGCTTAACGATGTCGCGTTGTGTGTCAGCATAGCTATATGGTGTACAGGCTTTCACATGAACCAGTAGACCACAGACAGTACATCCAATGCGAGTCACTCTGCCCGTCACCGGTTTATCACAGTTTGGACACACAGGGGGCTC